AGCAAAAAGCAAATGTTTTGAAAATGATAGTGGCAACAATTGTACAAATGTGCTTGACACAATGGATGGATGGATGGATGGATTGTGATAAGAGTTGTAAGAGCCCCCAATAAAATGATTTAAAAGAAAAGCCATTTGAAAAAAGTCAAATACCTTTTCATAATAAGTAAAACAGCAAAATAAGGATAGAAGTAAATTCTTTGACATGATAAAGGGCATTTATGAAAAGTGCACAGCTAACATCATCCTGACTTTAGTGAGACTGAAAGCTTTCCTCAAGATCAGAAACATGCACGGGTGCCTGCTTTTACCCCAGCTATGGAGCATTGAGCTTGACGTTCTAACCAGAGCAAGGAAAAGAAATAGAAGTCATCCAAATCAGAAAGAACGAGGCAAAATAATCTCTTTTCTCAGATGACATCATCTTGCATGTATGAGAAAATCCTAACAAATCAGCCAAGAAACAATGATAATAGTAACAATTAGAGCTCATAAGCAAATCCAGCAAAGTTGTAGACAATGAGGTCAACACAAACTTGTTTCTGTACACTAGCAATGAACAACCAGAGAAGGAAATTAAGAAAAACAGCCACTTTACAATAGCATCAAAAAGAATGACACATAGGAATCATTTTAAACAAGATGAAAGATTAAAAATTACAAAATATTGTTGAAAGAAATTAAAGAAGATCTACGTAAATGGAAGAATGCACATGTTGATGAATTAGAAGACTTAAAATTGTCAGTTACCCAGGGAAGTCCAAATTCAAGAGGCATGCCATCTCTTTCATTGTGGAAAAATAGAGAGTCCAAGATCTGTTTTGAAGAGCAGTGCTGCCTGTGATAGGATAATATGTATCCACCTACAAGGAAATCCAGTCGGGACAGCTATTCAAATTATATGCACCGACCACAAAAGCTAGTGTGGTAGTTACATAATCTTGGGTCAACTTGAGGGTGTTAAGCGTAAAGGGATGGAGTCTAGCCTGTCAATCAGGTCACAGCCTGATGATGCCTCCTTGTGGGCTTGACCTTCTCATGAGGATTCTGGGAACTTCCTCTCTTTCTCCTTGGAGACAGGCAACATACTCTCTCTGCTTCCCCTTCATGTGAAGGAGACATTCAGCTGGAGGAGCCAGTGCAAGCACAAAGATGCTTCCACCGCCACTGGCTCCCCACTGATCTGTGATCTTCCTGCATTCAGCATCGGTGCATGTGCTGCGTGAGTCTAAAGAGGAATTTATGGACTAGTATCGGACATATGTGCTGATATCAGACTTTTGGACTTGATCTGGGCTGGGATGTTTTCTCACTGTTCAAGTGCTCTTTGATATAAAGCGCTCTCTTACACACGAGTGTCTCTGGATTTGTTTTTCTAGTCAACCCACCCAACACAGCTAGTGATGAGGATATTAAAGGATTTACGAAAACCTTCAGTCTGAAGTTAATCAAATAATTTTGTATCCTCCATACTTTTGTATCAACCATACTTCAATCTACCTGCTGAGCAAATAATCCACAAAGCTCGATTTTTATGGCATCAGGTTTAGAGGAAGGCTTATTAATAACTTGCTGTGTCAGTCTGGGTAGACTAGAGAAACAAATTCATAAACACACATATGTATATAAGAAAGAGGTTTATATACAATAGCAATTGAATATTGAGAAAACATCCCAGTCCAGATCAAGTCCATAAGTCCAATATTAGCCCATATGTCCGATACCAATCTATGAAGTCCTCTTCAGACTCACGAAACACATGCGATGATGCCGAGTGCAGGAGATCACAGGCCAGTGGGTAGAAAGTCTTTGGATCCAGTGGCGTAAGTATCTCAGCGCTGACAGGGGTGTCCACGTGGCTTCTCCAGGTCAGGGCACTAGCGCAGTTCCATGTGTCTTGTCAGCTACAAAGTCTCCCAGGGAGTGAGCAGAGAGAGAAAGAGAGGTGTCTCCCGCCTCCAAGGAGGAAAAACAGGAGTTTCCAGAATTCTCAGGAGAAGGCCATGCCCACACAGAGGCTTCATTGCCTATGATCTGATTGATAGACTAGACTCTACCCCTTTACTCTTAATCCTGTCAAGTCCCAAATTGACACCAGGTTGTGTAACTACCACACCTGGGATATGCAGATGACACAGCCGTGCTTGCTGAAAGTAAGGAGGACTTCAAGTACTTGCTGATGAAGATCAAGGATTACTGCCTTCAGTATGGATTACAACACAATTTAAAGAAAACCTAAATCCTTACAAGTGGACCAAAACGTAACATCGTGATAAATAGAGAAAAGGTTGAGGTTTTCAAAGATTTTATCTTGCTTGATCCACAATCAATGGTCATGGAAGCAACAATGAAGAAATAAAAGGACATATTGCAGTAGGTAAATCTGCTGTATGTGACCTCTTTAAAGTGTTGAAAAGCAAGAAAATGTTGCTTTGAGGACTATGGTGTACCTGACCAATACTACAGTATTTTCAGTCACCTCAAATGCAATTGAAAGGTGGACACTGAGTAAGGAAGACCGAAGAGGAATGGGTGCATTTGAATTACGGTGCTGGCAAGGAATATTGAAAGTGCCGTGGACGGTCCAAAGAGCCAACAGACCTGTCTTGGACGAAGTACCGCCAGAGTGCTCCTTAGACACAAGCATGGAGAGACGTGACGTCATTCTCACATACTTAGGGCATGTTATCAGGAGAGACCCGTCCCTGGAAAGGACATCATGCTTGATAAAGCAGAGGGGCCGCATCAGCGAGGAAGGCCCTCAGCAATGGAGTGACGCAGTGGCTCCAACACAGCAGTTATGAGGACGGCTCCGTACTCGGCAGTGTTTCCTTCCGGTGTATGGAGGGTCACTACGACTTGACCTAACAACAGTATTGCCAGCACTGCCCAGATTCAACACAATCCTAGCAATTTTTTCCCCAGAAATGGGAAAATCCATCCAGAAGTTCACATGGAATTCTCAAGGACCCTGAATAGCCAAAACAATGGGGGGGGGAGGGGGCAGAATAAAGTAGGAATAATCCTTCCCACTTTTAAAACATACAATAAAACTGCAGTTATCCAAACAGTGTTGTTGTTACTCTTGTTGGGTGACATCAAGTCGTTCTGGCTCAGCATCCCTGTGCACAACAGGATGAAGCTCCGAACAGCGTGGTGCTGGCATAAAGGTAGATATACTGTATCTACTAATGGAACAGAATTGAGAATCCAGAAAAGATTTTTGACCAAAATGCCAAGTCCATCCAATAGGAAAGAACACCTGGTTTCTTCAACAAATGGTGCTGGGACAACTAGAAGAATACACAGCTGAAGAATGAAGTTAACTCTTCTTGCTGTGGTCGAACCATTGGATTGTATGCCATGTGGGTGAAGTGCCAATACAACTGTTTGAAAAAGAATCAAGTTAGACCCATCCCGCACACCACCTATGAAAATTAACTTGTGGGTACATACAGAAAGTTCTGCTTATTAGTGAAAAACAAACCAGCTTTAGAAGACTGAACAGATGAGAATGATGAGGGCAATGAATGTACAAATGTGCTTTACACAATTGATGTATGTATGGGTTGTGATAAGAGTTGTATGAGCCCCTAATAAAACGATTAAAAAAATAAACTAAAAAAAAAAAAAAAAAAGACTGAACAGAGCTACCTTGGGGCCAAGATCTATGACGCCAGCTGGAGCCAAACTTGACAATGTGGATCCTGCCACTTTTGGGCTTTACACAGAGTTGGAAACCACTTTATATGGTTTAGGCAGGATGGTGGAGGTGCGGAGGGAAAGCTTCCTGCTTTTGGGGGGTCTCAACTCTTTTTCCCTCGTTTTTCTCTTTGGTTTTTTCAATACTTTGAAACGGGGGTCATATTAAAAAGCCCAGTTCCTGGCTCTTTCTCTATTTCGTCACGTCTTTAGACAGGTGGTGCAGTGCTCAGCTGTTAGCCCGAAGTCCAGCGGGTTGAGCCCGCCAGCCATGAGGCCTAGGGAGAGTTAGGCAGTCTCATTCCTTCAAGAGACCACCCTGGGAAACCTTCGGGGCACTTCTACTCTGCTCTAAATGGTCACAATGAGTCAGAATGGACTCAATGGCCATGGCTAGTTTTATTTGAAGTTCTTAATTATAAAATAATTACAAGACTCCAGGAAAATATATAATTCCATTTTTTCTCAAATCATGCCATTGGGCTTCAAACCCACCAGTTGTTCCAAGAGAGAAAGACGAGGCTGCCTACTGACCTAAAGAGCTTACATGTTGTCGGGTCCGTGTGAGTCAGGGTTGACTCGATGGGGATGGGGCGTGAAGGATTTTTTTAAGTCTAAGAGCATGTTGCTGTCTACTCCCAGTGCTATAGACATTGATAAGTCGTAATCCCATCTTTAATCTCTGAAATCCGCTAGCGTTTCTAAGCAGCCTGGAGTGTAGACTGCGTCTGTAACGACACCCTGCCTTCCTCCTCCAGATTCTTTTCTTCGGATTTGGGTGGCTGTTCTTCATGCGCCAGCTGTTCAAGGACTATGAGGTGAGAACAGGTGGTTTGGTTCTGCTAAAACTGTGAACTCAGATTGTGTTTTACAAGTGAGGGGGTTGGTTTATACAGTAAATACTGGGATGGAGAGTGCGATTACGCTTACATTGTTTTTTTAAAGGGTAATTCATGAGTTCTATGTCATGAGTCCTGGAAGCCAGGAGCAGGAAAATATTGGAGCCATGTGTAAGATCAGAAAGTTATTCTTTGGCATATAATTTAATGTATTATAGCCCTGTGACGATTCTTTTTCATTTGTCTACTTGGCTTTGACTTGTTAATTATTAAATTACGATCTTAAATTGTATTTAATACTAAATTTTCAAGACTGACTTGGTTATCTTAAGCCTTAGATTCAGAAAAACGTCACCAGTCAGTCAGCCATGCTCTCTCAGCAATAACTGCAGTGGTTAGCGACTCTCTTTGAGTTATTTCTGGGGTGTTCACCACCAAGCCTCCCCCGAGAGTCTGCAGTGTGTCTAAAAGAGTCTGGACTCGTCAAGGCCTCCCAGGAGAAGCTCCAGGACTGCAGAATCTTGGAAAAGCCTCTGTAAGCATCATCCATTTCAAGAAGGGCCTCCGAAAGTTCATTTAAGAATTCCCTCATCCTTTAATTCCACTCTTCCATGGACTTTTTGACGCTTCCATGTATGCTCTACATTGTAAATTCTTCACCCTTAGGGGGTAATAGTCATCTCTGATTCACTGATACAGTGACATAGTATTTACAGACAGGAAGAGAGAGAGAGAGAGAAATTTTTTGAATTCTAGAAGAGCTACCTACTTTTATTTAATTGGTTGCTTTCTTTAAGAACTATGAAGTTAGAATAGCTTCATGGCCCTATTTCCAATGACTTGAGAATTTCTTCAGAATGAGTTTTCTGACGCTTAACCAAAAAGAGATTATCGGTTTAATATTTAAAACAAGGAAATGACTTCTAGCTTCTCTCTGGCTTTTAACAGGTACGTCAGTATGTTGTGCAGGTGATCTTCTCGGTGACTTTTGCCTTTTCCTGCACCATGTTTGAGCTCATCATCTTTGAAATCTTAGGAGTGTTGAACAGCAGGTGAGTAAGGGTGCTATATACCTCCCCTCTAGTCACCTGATTTCATAGTTGGAAACAGTGGTCACAGCAAAGGCACTAATTAAATAGAATATATTCGCTCCTAGAAGCTCTATTTTGCTCCTGTACACTCCTACTGAATCCCATTTCCACTCATTGAAACTCCCTACCTAAAAAGACCAGAATTCCTGTCCTCAGACCAATTTAAGGACCTTACTGGAAAACGAACCCTAATTCTTATGAACTTAGTTTTCATTGGTAATTTTATAAGTTTGATCAAGTCTCATTGAACCTAAGAATATTTTTAAAACAACTCTTACCACCACCCCCCGTAAAAGACCTACTAGTTTAGCATTTATTAGACAGTCTTTCTAAAATGCTTCTTGCTTGTTGAACTACAAAGGGTAATGAAAACATTGTAAAATGGATTGTGACTATTTTTAAAATCCATCCGTTTCACACTTTAAGTGGGTGTGTTAGATATTTGAGGTCCACTCAATAAAGCTGTCATGAAAAGAAATGCAGAAAGGATTAAAAGACCTAAAATTGTAATCAATTAATAGGATTTATTTTACAATTGATAACAAAAGTAATGGTGCAATCAAATGTTTAATTATATTGAGGATACAAAAGAGGCATTTTGGTTTTTTAGTACGTATAGCACATACTATGTTTGACATTTATTTTCTTTTAATATATTAGAATAAGATAAAAAGAATTTTAAAAATTAAAGAAAGAAAGAAACAGATACCCAGTAGAGAAGGAAAACAAGTCATTCAACCAGTAATTGTGTATGTTGGTACCTGTCAAGGTATGAAGACCCATGAATGCAGCTAAAGCATCAGCAGTCTCGACGTTCTTGGAAGGCTAGGATGGTCACGTTTACCTTTCAGAACTTTTATCTATTTTTTAATGTCTATAAATGAGCACCTAGTAGTTAGCCCAGTTGGCTTATTAGTTGAAATATATTCAGCACTAGTTCAGGGAGCACGGGCCCCTTGGAAGACTTCAGCAATCTCAAGTTGTGCCCTCTCCCCAATCCCAATTATATTCTTCACCGTGCATTTCAGCTCTCGCTATTTTCACTGGAAGATGAACCTGTGTGTCATTCTACTGATCTTGGTTTTCATGGTGCCTTTTTACATCGGCTATTTTATCGTCAGCAACATCCGACTATGTGAGTATCTTACCCTCTCCTATCTGTGCATAGATTAAGATGAGTCTTTCGAGAGCTTGAGGTGTGGAGAGCTTCATTTGTACTTCACTTTCGGCAGCTGCAAGGAGCCGTGATGACATAGTGGGTTATACATTGGGCTGATAACCACAAGGTCAGCAGTTCGAAACCACCAGCCACTCCAAGGGGGAAAGATGAAGCTTTCTACTCCCCTAAAGAAATACAGTCTCAGAAGTGCACTGAGGCAGTTCTAGGCTGCCCTATAGGGAGGGCTCTATGAGTCAATTGACTCCGTGGCAGTGAGTTTTCCAGCAGCTCCTGTTATGTCGGTACACCTTAGACGCAGCATCTCACAAAGGTTGACACACAAATACTCACTGAATGATCGGGCTGGTCCTACCAAAGCTTTGTTTGTTTCTATTTACTCTCTTCCCTAACCCACATCTCAATTTCACTCAAACTTCACTTATGGTGGTAAAGATAAAATTAACACTTTAAAAATTGTGTTGTCCTATCAAGCATTTGCCAAGTGAACAAGCTAGTCAAATATTAATTATCATGGTCCTGTGTTTTTAGTAGAGCCAGCTCTTTGACATACTCATATAGCTATCTTCCCTAACAGTCTTGTCTCCCCTCTCTTAGTGCATAAACGACGACTGATTTTTTCCTGTGTCTTATGGCTGACTTTCATGTATTTCTTCTGGAAACTGGGAGATCCATTTCCTATTCTTAGCCCAAAACATGGTGAGTGTGTGGTGGGAGGTGGGGGTGATTATTTGTTGCAGTTTTGAAGACAATTCTTTAACTTCTGATTCTGGGTCCTAAGTTACCTATAAACATCCCAAAGAGCAAACAAATCTGTCTTGGAAGAAGCACACCCAGAATGCTCCTCAGGAGCAAGGAAGGCAAGACTTCACTGATGTCCTTTGGGCATGTTGTCACGAGAGGCCAGTCCCTGAGAAAGGACATTTTGCGTGGTAAAGTAGAAGGTGAGCGGACAAAGATGAAGACCATTAAGGAGGTGGATTGATAGAGGAGCTGCAAAACGGCTCAAGCATAACGATGGCGAGCATGGCGCACAGGCCTGGGGCAGTGCCTCCTCCTTTTGTGCGCAGGGCCACTATGACTCAGCATCTAACTACAACAACCCCGACATCAGGTGTGTCCAGTAGGCACTTGGCTACACAAGTCATTGAAAACTATCATAAGGAGCTTAGGGGAAAAAGTATAAACTCATCATTCCACATGGTGAGGTCTCCAGAAATCTAAAAAATTAGAAATTGTCAGCCAAATACCATTAGGTGAAGCTGGAGAAATGAGCAAGATCACCAAAAGAAAATGTGTCCATTGAAATGGGAGTGATAATTCTGTCCCATGCAGACAAAGGGCCACTTAAGGAGAAGTAGAGAAGTAGGAAAGAAAGCCTAGGGAAATGCATTGTGGAAGAAAGAAAGGAAAATCATTCTGAGCAGAAAGGATTCTGGCTGTGAATGATACGTAAAACAAGGATGGGAAAACGTTACTGAGTTTTGCAACCAGGAGAAGAGTCATGAGCATCGTGTGGTGGTGTTAAGAGCCCAGGCTCTAGAGCTTGGCTGTTTGAATCCTGTCTCTGCAACTTATCAGTTGTGTGGCCTTGACTTACGTTACTTCACCTCTGTGCCTCCATTTCTTCGTCTATAAATGGGGTTTCAATAATATCTCACTCAAAAAGTGAAGATCAAATGAGTCAATGCTTAAAACAGCCCTGGTTCTAAACAGGTGCTTAGTGTTACCTATTATATTGAAGTACTTACTGTTGAAGATCAAAGACTACACCTCCATATAAAGGAAATGAAAATCCTTGTAACGTCACCAATAAGCACCATCCTGATAAATAGGAACAATTAGGTTGTCAAGGACTTCATTGTCCTGGACTCCACAGCCATTGCTCATGGAAGCAGCAGTCAGGAAATGTTTAAAGTGTTAAGGAGCAAAATCGTCCCTTTGAGGACTAAGGTGCACCTACCCCAAGCCACAGAATTTTCTATTGTCTCACATGCATGAGAGAATAGGACAGTGGTGAATAAGGAAGCCCCAAGAATTGATACCTGTGAACTATAGTGTTGGCAAAGAATGTACCGTGGGCTGCCAGAAAGACAAACAAATCTGTATCTCTTTAGAAGCAAGGATGGCAAGACTTCATCTCTGAGCATGTTACCAGGAGGGAGCAGTCCTCAGTGAAGGGCATCACGTTGAGTAAAGGAGAAAGGCGGCAGAAATGAGGACGCCCTCAGCGTGACAGAGTGACACAGTGAGGACACACAGCAACAGCTGTGAGGCTGGCACAGGGGCAGCATTTCGTTCCGTCGTGCAGAGGGTCGCTATGAGTCGGAACCGACTCGAGGAAACCTAGCAGAACAGTATGATATTGTCAGTGAAAGCAGTTATGTCCTGGAAGAGAGCCGGCTGCTAGCCACCTGAGGACTGAACGGGCAGTGAAGGAGAGGTAGGTATAAGAACTGAAGCCATGCCGGGGGAAATAGAGGATCGGTAACTAGAGATACAGTGAAGTCGTAAGGTCAGACTTTCTCTTGTGAAAAACACTTGAAACGTATGGAATGGACAAGCAAAGAAGGAAAGCCTAAAGATAAAAGAAAG